TTTCTCTTCTGTGGCAGTAAACCAGCAATTAGGGTTTTTCTTGCATTCCTCAGAAGGAATTGAGTTCTCAGAAATTCAATTGGTTTTCACAAGTCTTTATGCTTTCTCAAGTTTACTGAAAATACAGTGTTTGTTCTCAGAACATGTTTGTTTGGGACAAGAGATGGAACTTAAGACTGTCATTAAGGACGACCATGATTTTGATCCAGGTTAACCAGATGATTTGCGTCTTTTAAAACATTTGCTTGGTTAAGAAATGGAATACACAGTGCATGTTTGTTTGGAATGCAGTTGCAAGATTACAGGATTATTGGAATTTAAGTTATCAGATTGGAGCATTTTGTTTCAATTATCTTGATTGGGAATCTTTAAGAATCAGTTAGGATGCGAAGAGAAAATTACAAGTTCTTGACAGTAAAGGATTTCAATTAACACCAGAATATTTCATAAGACTTTCTCCAATTTTTTGAAAGTTGTTACAAAACAATTTATTATTTAAATACTTTAGGTTTTACAACTTATCGTATTTGAAAAATAAATTAGTACAACTATTGGTTACAATAGAAGAATGTTTCTCTCTAAATTAAAAAGAAAATCTAAATGGATCTATACTTAAGGTTGACTGAAGTTCCTTTGCTTCCATGCTTGCCACAGAGTCTCTTGATTCCCCTGCTTTGTCACATCCAATTATGCTCACATGAAAATAAAAGAAAGGAAAATAGTTAGTACAAATTATTTGGGCATGAGCAAGAATTTTCAAATGAAAAAAGTGTTATTCATCATTAAAGTTTGCAAATTGGAATCAGAAGGCCATTTTAATTCATCATATTTTATTTCCTCTATTTTTGCAAATCATAAAAAGATTATTCTTCTTGGTTCACAAAAAGAAGGAAAAGAAATGCAAGCAAGTTGTCCAAACAAGCAAATGTTACAAAATTGTCCAAGAAATACTACAAAACTGTCCAAAGGCAGGCAAATTTATCCAAACAAACAGAATACTACAAACTGAATGCAAGCAAGCTGCGCAAGCTAGGCAACAAACAGCAGCATTAGCAAAGCTGTCCAAACAAGTAAAATGTGCAAACAGAATGCCCAAACAGCAGCACAAAATTGGACAAGATGCAAACAACAAAAAACGAGGCAGCAACATAGCAGTAGACAGCATCAACAAAAGAAAATATGGCAATATAATAAGCTAAGTCAAAACAAGCAAAAGCTTGTTCAAGAAGCTAGTTCATCATTTTCCATTTTTTGCAAACTTTTCAGAATTGGAAAAATGGGCAAAAAGCAATTTGCTTTCCTAGTGTCATTGAGAGAGAAGAGAGGAAATAAGTCACCTAGGGATGCACAACCCTGCTGCCTTGACTGTCACAAGTTACATAGAAGCTGCTAGAAAACAAAACTGCCATCAAAAAGCCAAAGGAACAATATAGTAAAATATTCAAATTTGATGTTTTTCTCACCTTTTTGAATAGAGATAACAGAAAGAGGGTCAATATAACAGTAGACAACTCTCAAGCAAAGGGAGATAGAAAAATTATCAAATTGTTAAAAGCCTCAAAACCTCAAAACATTTTCAAACTCATAAAAAACCTGTCCAAGCCAAATATCAAACACAGTAACAAACCTTCAAAACCTCAAACCTCCAAACTGTCAAAACCAGCAACCAACTCAAAACACCATTAAACAACCATCTCAAAACTGTAACAAAGCAAAATATCAATCCAAAACAAAACAAAAAAAGCTCAGCAAGTCCAAAACTGATAAACCTCTCAAGTACTGCAACCAAAATCAAAAACCTGTACAACTCTCAAGTCAAAAAATATTGTAACCCAAAAAATCAAAAAAAGCCAAACATCCCACCATAAACCAAACCTGCAACCTGTTACAGTAGCATCATCCATCAAACCAACAACAAAAAACCATAAAAACCAGAATCACCAACCTTCAAACCATCATCCATCAAACCTGTAACAAAACCAAACCTATAACCAAAACCTGTTAACTCAACATTAACAAATCCACAAATCAAAACCAGAAATCTCAAATTGTCAACAAAACCAAAACTAAAAAAAAAAACATCAACCAGCATCCAAATTTCAAACATAGTAGCAGACTACAACAAAACCTCAAACCTCCAAGACTGTCAAAGTCTCAAATCAAAACCATCATCAAATACAAAGAATCACAAAATCTCCAAAACTGTCAAAGTATCAAAACTGCAACAAGTCCCAAGCATTCAAATCCCAAAAATCACAAAATCCAGAAAAACAACATCATCATCATTCAACAAAGAAGACAGAAGGAAGTCACCAGAAAAGTGATTCGTTCATCCTCATCTCCTTTCCCCCATCTCCGGCCACCTAGGAACGACGTCGTCCCCTTTCCATTTCACAGAAAATCTATAACAGGTATGATATATTCCCTTTTATCATAATTCCATATGTTTTCTCTGCATCTAAAAGGTAAGGTAGTTAACAGAAAACACAATAGGGATGAGAAATCATTGAAATTTCGTAAACCTTAAAAAGAACAGAAATTTTTACCCCTTTAAGAAAATTGCTAGAGCTTGCTTAGAGAGATGAAGCGGTCACGTTCTGGCAACTGAGAGTTGGGGGGAGGATCAGATAAACTAGATTCGAACATTTTAGGCATAAATCCGCACTTAGGGTTTTTAAAACAAAAATGCGAATCACTGTGAGATGTGGAGAGATTACGTTGTTGAATAGGGCATTTCGGCCATGAGACTAGGAAGACACGAATGTTGAGATAGTTTCATAGAGGAAAAGATGAACAAAAATGGAAGAGATGAGCAAAAGAGACGATGAGAGCGCCGCTGTAAACCAAAGGGTCTCAGAACCCTAATTTTTCTTTGTCCCTTAATCAAACGTTTAAACAGTTTAAGAACTTTGGCCTATTTTTGTTTGAATCAAACCCTGAAGCCCACGCGTTTTGCTAACCCACCCCCCATCTGGCCTTGTTTCGTTTACAGCAAATAATACCATTTCTCTTTGGGCCTTTTCCCAAATCTCCCTAAGCCCATTACATGTTTTTTTAATTTGTTTTCATTTACATTTCTTTTAATTATTATGCAAATGTTAAATAAAACTTAAAACATTTTTATTAAATTAATTTAGGTTTTAGTGATTAATTTTTTACATTTAATAAAACGTCAAAAAGAATTAACTTAGTTTGTTTTATTTCTTTAAATTTATTTGTATAATTAATAAAAATACAAAAAAATAATAATAAAGATTTTTAATTTAATCAATTTTTTAGAATAGGTTTTATTTTTCTCTTTTTATGTAAATACATTTCATTTCATACTTTGTTGATATTATTTTCATAAATTGTCATAGCTTTATATTAAATCGCACAAATATTCGATTTGGTTGTATTGCTTGCTATTTGGATTTTGCTATCTCATTTGATTCATCCCCATTTGTAACAATTGTACCCCCATTCCCGAATACTTTTGTAATAGCGTAGAATTTCAATTCCCGCAATTTACTGTTTTCTATATACTGTATAGTAACTAGGCATGTATGGCAAGATTCAAAAATCAATCGCTAGATGACTTAATCAAAGAATAAAATAACTTGAGACCAACACACTTTTTCACACGCGCACCTCTTGGGTAATCCTGCTTGTTGCCTCGTGTTGTACCCCAAAATTTGCCCTCACATTTTTCCCCAAGAAATCTCAGCTTCAAGCCTTTCCTGATTTTTTTAAACTGACTCAAGAATCGGACAAACGGACTTTTCTTGTCAGTCAAGCAAAATTAGGGTTTTACTGGTTTTCATGGCCCTAGAACAGTTCAAGCAAATGGCTTAGGGTTCTGGGTGATTTTTGGTTCAATTTTGATCAGGCGAACGTTATTTGGCATTTAATCAGGAATTAAGGTTTTATGGGCATGTTCTCAGAAGGGTTTAAATTCCACAGCACTTTGCAGTTTATTCCGAGATTCGGGTTAAAATTCGCGTTGTTTTGATTTAATCAGTGAAAGAGACAGTGGTTTGAATTCATGTTGTTTGAGCCAGTCAAAGAATATGCAGTTTGGAATTACAGTGCTTGGCAAAGAATCAGTGAAAAAGAGGATTGCGTCTGATCAGTTTTTGTGTTCGACTGTGCGTTGCTTTGAATGATGGAGACGTCGAATTCATTTATTTTGATCAACAAGGTTTAGTTGATTATTTATGGTTCTAAGAATTAAATATTTGAAATTTAAACTTTCATTTTATTTAATTTAAGGAATTATAAATAACAAGTAAACAATTAAAGAAAAGGAATTGAAAAGATTTAATCAATAGAATTTTTATTTCATATTTAATAGTTGTTACAATTATTATTTGGATACAAGTATTTATTACGAAGTATTTAAAATAATAATGGTTTACAAATAATTAAATTGAAAATAAAAATTATCCTATTTTTTTCTAAACATTTTCTAAGTCCCTAATCTCTTCATTCTTCACTCCGCTCCGGTGTTCCATTATTCATCTGCAAAAGAAAAGAGAAAGTCAGAAAGCAGTTAAATTGGAAAAGACAGTTAAAATTAGACTCATCATTAAGGGCCACTGACTGGGATCAGTTAACCCTCTCTGCAAATCACGGGATTTTTCCGGTTCACAGAGAGGGAAGAATTTTTATGCAAAGTTGAAAAAATGCAAATGTCAAAATGCCTAGAATATCAAACTGCATAGTTTCCAAATCTCAAACTTCAAATTCAAACCAAACTGAAAAAGTCCAAGTTACAACTTTCTATCAAAAGCCAAAAGTGCAATTTGCTGTCAAAGATGTCAACAAAGCTACTCAAAGCTACCAAAGAGGAAGATTTGGCCAAGATATCAAGGAAAAGACAAAGTACCAAAGCTGTCAAAAAGAGATAAAGATGCAGAGAAATTGTATGCAAGCAAGCTAACTCAAATCATTATTTCCCATCAATAGCCCTTTCAGAAAAGATAGTACAAGAAAGAATCATATAATAATATCCAATTGTACTACAGAGAGAGAAAAAGAGAGAATAGAAGCAGGTTTTCAGGCTTTAGGTTTAGACAGTTCAGCATAACAAGAAAAGATATACAAAGGAGAACACAGTTCAGCAAGAAGGGGGAAGAGAGGAAAAATATAAAAACTACAAGGTCCTGGCCTGAAGCAAAAAAAAACTGAAAAAATCTGATAAACCACCAAGCCTGAAGCTTACCTGCTGTCAAAACCTCACCATACCTGCCAAAACCATTACAAGCACATAACATAAACTTACTGTCATAACCTAAACATGCTGAACCTGTCACAAAGCAAAGAAGACTCATAACCTGCTCAAGTTCATACACAACCCTGCCTCAACATACAAACCTGTCACAAACATATAACCTACAAGCTGTAACCATATATCAAACCTCATCAACCTGCATTAAGCCAGAACCGGTTAAGCCTCAACATAACAATCTACCTGAACCACAGTATAACCTCTAGCATAAAAAACCCTCAAGAAGTAAAACCTGCTTAAGCCTAACCTTAAACCAGAAACACCACATACTGTCAAAACAAAAATATACAACCCATCTCAAAACCAATAATCTGCCTGAACCATGCTAACAACCTGCTAGCACAAACATAACCAACATAATCCCTCAAGCATATCCAAGCATATCCAAGCATTCAAAACAACTCCTAAGCCTCAGAATCCCTTCATCATAGGCAGTAAATGTTCAAGGCAAACTCAACGAAAATGCTAGGCAACTGTAAGAGAAGATACAGAAGCAAGCAAATGACATATATCAAGCAAGCATTCAGAAGCAACCCAGGCCCTCAGTAAACATACATCACTGGGCAATAACACATTCCAAAGGCATCCAACTCAAGACAGTAAAGGCAACGAGAGAAGAAGAAAGAGTTAAATCAGTACCAGGTTTTCAGGCAAATCAACATCATCATAAAACCTTCACACGGTAAGGAGTAAGAACGAAATACCAGGGACATCAAGAAAGCTTCATCGCGCGAATCTCCCTCCGCTCGTTCCGGCCTCCTGAGCGCCACATCCCCGTCTCTCCTCCTTCTCCAAGGTCAGGTAGCCAGCTTTTCTCTCCCTTTCTTCTTCACCACCTCATAATAGTACAGATTTAAGAATCAAATTCAAATAAAAAACGCGTACAATTCATAAAAGAAAAAGGAAACACAAACATTAAAATCGAACCTTGAATCAAGTCCACTGAGCTATGGAGGGAAGAGAGACTTTGGGGGTGACACCGGTGGCCTCGAACGGAAGGAAGTACCGGGACATGCGTAAAGATAAACTCAGTAGCCATGACCAAGAAGCAGGATGAACGAGGAAGAGCATGTAAGCGGACGAACGGCGCCGTCCCAAACCCTAAGCATGTTACCAAACTGAACAACCGAATCCCTAACCCTAAAAATGTTGTTTCAAAACCATGGGCCTGACCCGTTGTAAATTCTCTGAAGCCCATTAGAATGCTTCTTTTCTTTTCCTTTCTAAACAAATATTAATAACTCTTTATTTTACAAACAATATATTTATTTTCTAACTAAATGTAGTTTTAATAAAAATACATTCTTAATTAGTATATATCACTTAGTAAAAAATACATCTTTTCTTTAAGCATAATTAAATACTTTTCTATATACATAATTAATTTGAAAACCTTTTAATACATATTGAAATATTTGTACATATCATACCTTTTTTATTATATAGTTAAAATTGAAAATATCCTTTTCTTTTTAAGTATGTATATTTGTACATAACATTTAAAAAATACTTTTTTTAACATACATAATTTAATTTTGGATATTTAATACTTTTTGTATATAATAATAAAAATACATTTTTACACCATGTAATTAAAATTGAAAACTTTTTCCATTCTTTTAATCTTAAAACATTTTGTACATAACACATGGAAATATACTCTTTTTTTCTCAAAATATCATTTTCACAATTTAATTAAAACTTGAGCATTTAATTTAAAACACTTTTTCTTTTGTACATACTAAAAATATACAAATCAAATATTCCTTAAAACACATATTTAGGTCAAATACCCTAATACACTTCAATTTAACATGTCGCACTTGTAAATAATTACACATACTCATATACATGTACACTTACACAAATACATTCACATTGCCCTATACACATTTTTTTTATCTTATATTTGTATATTCGATATTTACATTTTGATCGCAAATTCGATTTGGTTGTAACTTATTGGATACTATAAGTCTCATCCCCTTTTATACATTTATACCCCCACTCCCGGACACTATTTTGTAATAGCGTAGATTTTACATTTTTGCAATTTACAGTTTTTCAATTATACCATGGTTAGACCTAGGGTTTGCATGTACATAAAATCAAACGCTAGATAACCTAATACAAGACAAATACATGTAATCAATACACAATCACACTTGCACCCTCTAGGGTAATCCCGCCTGTTGCCTTCCAAAATGGGCCATGCTTGCACGTCGAGTATCTTTGGCAAAACAAAATCAAAATGATCATAAGTCTCAAAGTGTTGCCTAAACGGAATGATCATAGTCCCTTCAAAGCAAATTGACAAAGACACTTGGCACCATTGCATTCATGGTTCATACGATGACCCGCGCCCGTCCCGAATAAACTTCCTAAACGCAAGATTGTCCACCAAATTCAATGGTGGAACAAAATTGTTAAAAGGGGTTAGAACATAACAAAAACCTTTGAGTACAATAGGGTAGACAAAACTCTTAGTTACTTGAGATCAATTTGCAAAAACACTTGCCTTCTTTTCAAAAACCACAATCCACAACACTTTCAAACAAACTCTCAAAAACATTTGAAAACATCTTTTCGAAAAGATCCACACTTTTGTAAAACACTCAATCACGAGTCAAATACATTAGTTGCCTAAGACAAGGCATCTTTTTCCAAAACATTTTCAAAAGCACCCACACACACACCATTTTCAAGCAATCGAAAATCAAGGCAAGTGATCTAAAAAACCAAGTAACTAAGAGCCCATGGATAACCATGGATGAAAAGGGTGCTAATACCTTCCCTTTTCATAATCTACCCCCCGAACCCACGAAACATCTCAAAAGGTTTTTGCTGTGCTTTTCTAACCTTTCCTTTAGGATAAAATAAAAAGTCGGTGGCGACTCTTGCTCAACCGCACAAGTGCGAATACGAACGCAAAACACTAGTCAGTTCTCCCACCGTATCACACCTCGGAAGTACAATCATGTCCCTCGAATATGAGACACTCTAGCAATGACCCTTCGATAAAAAAGATCGTAGTCCCTCGATGACCCTCAATGTCGCCTTCGATTAAAACGATCTCGTCCCTTACGAAAATTGCTAAAGCGTTTCACAAGTTGCCTTCAATGATTATAAAATTGACCCGCGCCTGTCCCTTCACATCCAATGGTGTGGCTTCTTACCAAATCAATGGTAAGATAACACCATTAAAAGGAATAAGAAAAGAACAATTTAAGACCTTTCGAGTAGATAGATTCGCTCTTAGTTACTCGCTTGCTCACGCCAAAACTTTTTACACCTACACTCTCATTTCAAAACATTTTCAAAAAGACAAAACATTTTGTATACGTTCTTATAGAGACGAGAACCACTGCAAAACCTCTTTTCAAAACACTTTTTGAAACACGATTCACAAACACATTTTTGAACCACTTTTCGAAACAAAACTTTGTATACGTTCTTATAGAGACGAGAACCATTACAAAGAGATTTTTCAAAATACTTTCAAAGCCCACACCACAAGCACACAATCTAACAAAAGCAAGTGATCTAAACGAGTAACTAAGAGCCCATGGAAAACCATGGATGAAAAGGGTGCTAATACCTTCCCTTTTCATAATCTACCCCCCCGAACCCGAGAAATAATCTCGAAAGGTCTTTCCTGTGCTTTTTTACCTTTCCTTTTGGATAAAAGAAAAGTCGGTGGCGACTCTTGCTAACCGCACAAGTGCGAACGAAATGCAAAACTTCAAGTCAGTTCTCCCACCCTATCACACACTCCAAATCATTCACCCTCAAAGATCACCTCACGTCAATCCAACATCTCGCTCTAACGACAAGTCGCAATCATCCCCAGAAAAGCATCAGGACCCACACATAACTGGAACATCATTAGCCATAACATCGCCCTCTACTACTAGAGATGAGAACAACACAAGTACCTGATCACTCCCTTCCAAGGACACTACAACATGACCATTATACACGAATCTTGAATTCGCATTCTCTTCAGAATCAGAAAGCCACACTGAAATTTTGGTATATCAGACTCCAGATGTCCTATGACATGTTGGGACATCTTATCTGACTTAAAACACATAGGAAAGGTATAACATACAAAACAATACTAAAAATTATAAATAACACACATGAATTGTTAACCCAATTCGGAGAAACTCTCCTACTCTAAGGGCATACATGGCCAGGGACAAGTCCACTATGATGATATCAATTCATAAACCCTATAACAAACATACCAGTTTACGATCTAATCACTTAATCACTACCCGTTCTATACTTTTATATAAGACTCACCTAGATATGAGGCCCTCCTTAATCTCTCATCAATCACATACAACGATTGGAAAAAACAGGAAGACACACTTCCATGAAAATACCTAGACAATACTCTTGACTAAGAACACAACTTGGAGTTGCTTAAAAGCTTCCTCCAAGAACAATACTCACTCTTGCTTCACAACTTCGAGGAGAATAATAACCAAATCATTACCTAAAGGCTTCTGAGTGATAACAGAACCTTCTAATCCAAGGAACACAATTCAACTCACATGTTGAGTGGATCACACATACCAACTCTCCTAGAGAGTGGTTTACAAACTCAGCCCTAATGATTACACCTTTCTAATTTTTGGCTGGTCCATTTACCTAGGTTACAATGCTTCTGTTTATAACCTATCTTCCAACTGGATTTGGAATGAAAATCACAACATACTGCCCATTTTCCAGCCATGTCCAACAATGCAAAATAGTCCTAAAACTGCTATAAAAATGCTATAAATCAGTCCAAAAAAATAGCAAACTGCAATGATCCAAATGCTGCCAGAAAACTGTTGCAAACTAGTCTATACAGCCTACTGCTCTGCATCATAACAGCCAAGAAATTGCATCAATATGGCTAAAGAAAAACCACATGGAGAAGGCATCAAAACAGTTTGTCAAAACAGTTCAAATATCTACAATTTTCCCTCTTAATTCCACTCTACTATGCCTATAAAAGGAAACCAAGACAGCCACTTTGAAGGGGAAAAAACAGGAAAATAGAGGAGAAATTTGTTCAAGTTTTAACAACAAATAATCAGAGGAAAAGAAGTTTGAGCATCAACAAGAGAGGGAGGGAGAACTTACTGTTTTTGAAGCTCCATCAGAGAGACTTCGATAGGTATTTCTTCTCCCTATTTACTTCTACATAACTTTCTCATATATCCATCAATTTGAATCTTCTTTTTGCATCACTTTTATGCCATATGATCGCTTGATTGATCACTTTGTGGTATCTTTGAGTTGCTGCATTTTGTTGACAATTAAACATGTTTAGAATTAATAATAAAAGCGATGAACGCACATGAAAAGTACAGTAAATGACATAAAATTACACAGAAAAACTCTTAAAAACACTTCAAATTTACCTCTTCCAAATCTCTCATCGCAATATGATCCCAATTTGTCTTTATCACATTTATTAGATTGCTTCTTCTTATAGACCAAAAGGCAACACCATGCACCCTCTTCTTTAGCTTCCAATGTGGACCGAGAGTGGGATTCCTGGAAATGAGTTTCTCCACCACCGATGTTTCCTTCACCGTCACCAAATCCATCCTCTCCCTCTCTCCATTCTTCTTCGAAAAAGGTATCATCACTTTTCGTTTCCTTTGAAACTTCCAGATTCGTGACCAAGCTGAAAGGGCCCAAGGGATCTTCTCTCAAAACTAAAGGATACTCCACATTATCAATTTTTACAACCATATTCTCTTTCAAAAAAATCAAAAGGAACTCTGACCATAATTCTTGCCACCTCCAAGCTTAAAAGCTTCGAACGTTGTCATCAGAACAAATGTACGTCCCAAAAGAACCAACCAAAGCTTCAAAGAACTCTACACGCCGCACGTGGGACAGAACACCGTGAATGCAAATCCAAGAAATCTGTTTGTTGTCAATGTCACTTGCCTTCCACGGTCTGATAACACTAAACCACTTACTCCACCATGATTCTGCATCGCAAATAAGGTCATGAATTTCACCTTCTTCATCTAACCTCCTGCTTCTACACCCAGTTCTGGTTCCACCATATTGTAAACCACTTCCATCAACATACTCTCTACCGTAGTCACAGTTGCAGGAGCACCATAACCTCTGAATTTACTCCCTAAACTCCATTATTCAACATGTAGCTGACACTTAGGTTCGAAGGGGGTTTGGAGCTTCTCTGTTACTCCAAGAAGATTCACCATGTCAATGTTGAATTTGAACCAAAAATGGACAAGATAAGTTAACCATGAGAGAATTGCTTTCCTGGGTGCAAACCAACTTTATTAAGGAGAGACCCGAAATTTTCATAAAAGGAGATACTGTGAGACCTGGAGTTCTCGTCCTTGTGAACGATTGTGATTGGGAGCTAAGCGGTCAGCTGAATACAACACAACATCCTCACTAATCTCCATCTCCCTTTTGTTTTCTATCATCACCCGTTAACTCCTTCCGTTCACATTAATCCCTCGACCTTCTCTCTCAATCTCCAATCCACATCCTTCTTCATCTTTCTCACGCTCATCCTTCATCATCAAATATCAACAACCTTTTTCGGTGCCACCTTCTCCAACCTTTGGAACCAACCCTTCCGTCAGTTGCCTTCAGCCCGCAGTTTATGTGTCAGATTTGCTTTCTGATACCAAGGCAGAATCTGGTAACAACTTACATGTTGGTAATCTGTTAGGTCCAGATGACAAATCAAGTTTTTCAGCAAAGCCCTTTCCTGAAGATTGACCATACCATTGACAATGGGTTCGCCAGCCATCAAGTGAATAAACCGTTACTTGATACAAACAGTGAGAATGAAGAAAACAAAGGTGACTCAGAGCATTCATCTAGTGACTTAGATTATGATGAAGAACGTAAACGATATGATGAACAAATGGAAGATTTACTTGAACAATCTTATGAGCGATTTGTGATAAAACGAAGGCACTGTAAGAGTTTATGGGAAATAATATTTAATCTCCATTCTTTTCCTCTTCCCAATGATACAACAGTAATACGGTGCTCTAGGGTTTTCAATTTTTTTTGTTCACTTTTCCAACCGGGTCAGCCCTTTTGGGCCTGTTGGCCCAATCACCCTATCAATATTCACCTTTTATTTTAATCAAAACATAGTAATAACAGATAAATAGCATAGTTCAGTTGGCAATGCATACCATTGATAATCTTAAGGAGACCCAAGTTCAACCCCTGCTGGAGATATTTTATTTTGTTTTTAGTTCATTTAGTCATTATTTCCATTTTTATTAAATATATGATAATAAAATATTAACTTAGTTTATATATATATATATATATATATATATATATATATATATATATATATATATATATATATATAAGTTTTTTCTTACCATTATAAAATAAAAATACACATTTTATTAAATGAATCTTTTATTTAATTTTTATATTTATTTCATTGTTAAAAATACATGCTTATAAATTAATCTCTTATTGAATTTTGTTATTATTCCATTGTCACTCTAATTAACTTTATTCTCCATCGTTTAATCTTTATATCTTTCGTCCGTCTCAATTCCAAGGGAAATGTTTTAACTTTGTTGATTTCATGTCATCAAATGCATCTTATACGATTGTGTGAATCTCTTTATTCATTTTTGTTTTTACTATTTTGTTATCGTAGGTTAATTTTTCTAAAAAACTCAATTTTAAAACTCACACCTTTTAAGACAAAACTTCGACACTAGGTCATCATATCTTCAAAATCCCATTCACGCCCATTTTAAACAAACAAACCAGTTTAACCAAACAAACAATTTTTAACCAAAAAACAGATATTTCAAAAGGTTCCTGTGGAGTACCGCAAATGCATTGGGTGCTAGTACCTTCCCATTGTATAACCAACTCCCGAACTCTAGATCTCTTTCAAAAAATGCATTGTATTTTCGTTACTTTTAAGTATTACTTTACATTGCATATTTAAGGGTTTTATTTCGCTTTTTTTCCTTTTCCCTTGAAAATAATAAAGCGCGGTGACGACTCTTGCTTTTGCGAATCGAGTTAATTAATAGCTCGATCTCCGATTTACCCCGCTACATTTTTTATCGCTACACTAACAACATATAAAAGTGTATATGGAGATTCTACTTTACTTTGGTCTTACAGGTGGAACTAACAACTTGTGATGATTGAAAAAGATCTTATAAGAATTAAATAACATCTCTCTGTCTGATTTGGAAGATTCACAAAGATCATGGTTATTTGGATATAAGCAAAATCAAAAAGACCACACTTTGTTCTCCAAACATTCCCAAGTTTGGAAAACTAACTATTTTTCTTATTTATGTTGATGCTATTATTGTTACATGTGAAGATTTGATTGAGATGAAATAAAATTTATCATCAGAGTTTGAGATGAAAAATCTTGGATAACTCAAATATTTTTTAGGAATTGAGATAAGCTACTAAAAACAAGACATCTTTATTTCTTAGAGGAAATAATTGTTTGATCTTTTACAACAAACAAAAAAATTGTATGCAATCCAACAAGTGTTTCCATTGAAGAAAATTATAGGATAAACCTTGAGATAAAAATGCCAAAGTTGATAAGGATAAGTATCAGAGATTAATGAGAAAGTTAATTTACTTAGACACATACTAGGTCCAATTTGACATGTCCAATTAATGTGGTCATCCAATTTATGCATGATCTAAAGGATATGCACTTCCAAGTTATATAAAATGATCTACAATACGTCAAAAGCCTCACTAGAGAGAGGGGTCTTGTTTAAAAGAGCTAGAAGTCTAATTATGGAAGCTTATACTAATGTAACTGATAGAAGATATACTTCATGCTATTGTACATTCTTGTGTAAGAACTTTGTTGCTTGGAAGATTAAGAAACAAATCGCAGTTGCTCGAGCTAGCGCTAAAGAAGAAATTATATCTACTACACCAAGAATTTATGAATTATTGAAGATGAAACACGTGTTAGAAAGTATAAAGATAAAATGTGAAAGCTTTATGTGTCCAACCAATGTTATCACATTTTTTTATAATCTTTTCTATAATTCATCATGATATTTCACCTCTACTACAGGCAACTCCTGATGAAGTTTGGCAAGATACTTCGCAGCTAATGAGGCGTGAAGCGCAGCACCATAAGGAAGCACATCTTCGTTGACTTTGAAATAGGACGAGTGTCCTGTCGGAAGATGTTCAACGGAAACATCCTCCATTCCGAGGAAGAAGATGTAACCCGGCAAAGCCTCTTGATAGAGCGCAAAGTCTTCTGATCCCATCATTGGTTCCATGCCTTTAACTTTATCAGCACCGAGTAAACTCTTGGCGACACTTTGAAAATAGTGATGCAGGTCACCGTTGTTTACCGTTGGAGGGATCAGAGGCTTCTCTTCTTCCAAGAAGCTCACTGTTGCATTGCATCTCTGCACAGCAGCTTGTCCAGTAATAACCTACATCAGCGAAACGGCCTTAGCGCCTAACTAGGATAGCAGTGATAACTATAAGAAAATGTACTTGGATAAGTAACTTGATAAATTGCTTGAGTGTAAATGTACATTTTACTTGGATAATTCAATTCAAACAGGCTCTAAAAGACAAAACTAAGATAAGATTGACAACAAGAGAAAAGATGTCTCATAGAATTTGACCCCATTTCCCTGGTTGCGCCACTCAAGAATTTAGTTCTCGCATGCAAGTTTTTAAGTCACATGAAAAGAGACGCATAAAGTAAATCTATTCTTATTCATAACAGACCTGCTCAATGCGGTGTTTCATTCGCGTGAAGCTTTCCCTTGAAAAAGATCGGAAGGTGCCACCAATTGTGACAGAGTCTGGAATAACATTGAATGCACCACCTCCGTGAAATTTTGCTACAGTCAAAACCTGTGAGGATGTTATTCATGTTAGGAAGATATAGGGGACACGCGTTTTCATCATATTCAAAAATCTTTATAAACAAATAATGTTCTGGAATGGTTCTCAACATTTTCCCCTTCAAACAGCTACAATATTTCACAAGATTGTGTGTCTCCAAGTAGAAGTCCCAGAAGAATACAAAGCTTTTAATACTTCAAAACAATGATGAGTTGGTAATAAGCACATGGTCTCAAGTTAAGTAAAATGCCAAATGCAAAAAGCAGCTTCTATTTATAGACATGGAAGCTCTAAGCGGAAAAATAAGTTAACCTGAGAGTCGAGAGGATCAGCTTCGCGAGAAATGATATGTTGTAAGCTAAGAATCACATTGGAAGCTGCCAATATAGGATCTATAGAATGTTGAGGAATGGCTGCATGACCACCCCTGCCGCTTATTATTGCTTCAAAGAAGCCACTTCCTGCAAACTGAGGACCAGACCTAGATGCCACTTCGCCTAGAGGCAAGTTATTTAGGACATGCAATCCAAATATGGCAGACACATTTTGTAAAACTCCAGCATCTACAATTTTCTTAGCCCCGCCACATCCTTCTTCTGCAGGTTGAAAAACAAGAACAACAGTTCCCTATACCCCAAAAAAAAATAATGATATCACAGATTCACAAAAGGATGAAAACACAAGAACAACATAGTTAAAAGATAAACATCAGAAAGAGTCAAAAATCATCTGTTTATCCTGAAATCATACTTGTAAATCTTTTTCATGGTCTTTGAGAATCTTTGCAGCACCAAGAAGCATAGAAACATGAGCATCATGACCACATGCATGCATCTTTCCGGGTACTTTACTCTTATGTTCCCACTCCACCAATTCCTAATGTTAGCAACATCAACAAAAAATCATCAATAAAATATATATGATAAGAATTGAAAACAAAAACATTCAGAAAACAATATAGACCTGCATAAGAAGAGCATCCATGTCAGCTCTGAGAGCAACAAAAGGAGGAAGACCAGTTCCTATGTAACCAACAACACCTGTAACTGCAACTGGATGTTTATATGGAATATCCAATTCATCCAATTTTGCTCTAATAAGCTTACTGGTTTCAAATTCTTCATAACACAGTTCAGGATTCTCATGAATCTTCCTCCTGATATCAACCATCCAATCAAAGACTTGAGGTTCCTTGGCTAAATCCAGAAAGTTTGGGATTGTGTTTGAATCTGAGATGATGGGTGTTGCAGTTAAAAAGCAATAGAAAATGATGATGAACAAGTTGATCCATTTGAAGGAACCCATGAGTGGATTCAAATTCTTGACTTGAGAAATGGAAAAGGTGTATAATTGAAGTAAAATTGATTTGAAAATGTTGGAAATTAAATAAGAAACTTTATATATATGGAAAGAAATTAGTATCTGGTCCACAGTTATGAGAATCTTTAATAAAAATTGCAGATATTAAGAAACTTATGATTACCAATGAATTTATCTATACATTAAATTGAGTGTATAACAAGTAGTAACTATTTTTAACTGGGTGTTTGTTTGTAATAAGGTGATAAAATAAATGAATGGGATGACAATTTATTATATATATTAATTAACATTCTTACACTTCATTCTTAAAATTATTTTTTATTTTTTAATTTATTACAATAATTTATTTTATTTTTAAAATTTCTCAATAGCCGTTTTTCTAAAATATATATATTAATAGTATTTTAGTATTATTGAAGGGTAATTTAGTATTTCAGTATGTTGTCTATGTGGTTCTAGTTTTGTGTGTATAAAAAGATTAATAGTAGTTGTCATTTAGTAATAAGTTTCCTTTAGTTTTTGTAGCCGTCATTGCAGAACAATAAAATATAGTCTCTTATTCTCCATGTTCTTCATCACCTTGTGCACTAACTAGGGGTGTTCGTGGTCCGGTTTGGATCGGTTTTGAGATAAAATATCATCGGATCCAAAAATATATAAAGCATACGGTTCGGTTCGGTTTTTGGATGACAACAAGAAAAATCCAATCCAATCCAATCCAATTTATACGGTTTACTTCGGTTCGGTTGAATCGGTTTTATTCGGTTTTTAAACCAACACTATTTAGAAATTTAAAAAGAATATATTTCAATACCAGTTACAATTCTGCCACCAACGTCTACTGAGACAATATCTAATTGTTATGTTCATATGGCTATTTGATGTCATTATTGCAAAGTTTCATTATAATATATGTATAATATATATCCCAACGAAATAGACATGACTATAATATATAACATATATGGAGATATGTTTAGTTCTTATATGGAGATTTGTATTATAAATTAAATATATGACAAATATATAAAACAGTGAACAAATGAAGATTCCAAAACTATATTAAAGCGAATATAATAATAAAACTTCAAGAAAAATATCAATAACAGTGGACATGCGAAAGTTGCATCACAAGGAATATATAATATCGGTTCGGTTTGGACCGGTTCGGTTCTCATGAAGCCAACCGTAAACCGAACCGAACCGGTCGGTTATGCTACATGGTGATCCAAATACATCCAAAAAAAATCGGTTTTTTTTTATTTCGGTTTTTTTGGTTCGGTTTTTGGATTTTTTTTGGATCGGATTGGATCTGAACACCCCTAGCACTAACAATTGGTATTTAGAGCTCTAGTTCGGATCCATTGGGAAACGCGAAAAACACGAGTGAAATAGTGAGGCGTTGTGTGATTGATTTCATTTCTTGAATTCGTGTTGAATCTTGAACGAAATCATAACAGAATCACATTTTCTGATTCTGTGGGATTGGGAAACATTGTGTTTGGTGAGATCTGAGTGACTTGCACAACATTGAAGATGAACGGAAACGGTAGTCTGAGCACCAAACTTCCAGTGTTCCATGGCAAAAACTGGAATCGTTGGATGACTCAGATGCGTGTGTTGTTTGGCGCTCAAGATGTTCTTCATCTCGTCAACAATGGTTATGTTTCGGTTGCACTTCTAGAAAATGCAACTAATACGCAAAGAAATACTTAGCATGATATGAGGAAGAAAGATCAGAAGGCGTTGTTCTACATCTATCAGTGTGTGGATGTGAACGTGTTTGAGAAAATCATTGATTCAACGACAGCAAAGATTGCGTGGCATACACTGGTTAGGTGTTACGGTGGTGACGCATCAGTGAAGAAGGTGAAGCTTCAGTCTTTAACAAAGTAGTATGAGAATCTCAACATGAAGGACAACGAGAAGGTATTTGAGTACATATCCAGAGTGATTATGATCACTAATGAGATGAAAGCTTGTGGAGAAACCTTTTATGAACAAGTAATCATTGAGAATATAATGAGGTTTCTTACCCCTTAAGTTGATTACACTGCAATTGAACATTCTAAAGATCTGGATACCATGAGAATAAAAGAGATGCAAAGTAATCTAAAGGCGCAAGAGTTGCGTCTGATTGAAAGAACTTCTGAGAGGGAGGTTGGGCAGGCTCTGAAAGCTTCTTTTGTCAAGAAGGACCAAAAGCAGAAAAGACATGGTAAGTCTCAGAAGTCAAAAACCTTCAGTTCTTATGAGAAGAAATATCAGAAGGGAAAGGAGAAGTACGACAAGAAGAAAGTTCAATGTTACTGTTGCAAGCAGTTTGGCCATTTTGCTCAAGATTGTAGGGAAAACAAGGGAAGGAAATCAGAAGAAGTAAATATAGCCAGAGGAGATTCTGATGATGAACCTGTGCTATTGATGACTTTTGAGTCTGATGGAAGGTGTTTGGTAGATTGGTCGTATATGGATAATGGATGCTCAAATCACTTGACTGGAAACAAACAATGGCTGATAGATTTTGACTCCAAAAAGAGGACAAAGATTAGATGTGCTGATGATAAGTACCTTAATGCAGAAGGTATGGGAACTGTCAAAGTCAAAGTGAAGAACGGGAAGACTGTTATGATCAAGGATGTTTTGTATGTTCCTGACATTAAGAGAAATCTCATTAGTGTGGGTCAGCTGATTGAGAAAGGTTTCTCAGTTGTTATAAAGAATAATCTCTTGAAGTTATATGATTCTAATCAGAAGCTGATTATGTAATATGAACAGGGAAGCAACATACATTCAAGGTGGATATGGAGACAGCTGAAACAGAATGCCTTAGTGTAGAAGATGCTAAAGGTAATAACAAGTTGTGGCACAAGAGGTTGGGGCATCTGAACTACAGAAGCTTAGGGAATCTGAGTTCTAAGAATCTCATGCATGGCATTCCGAAGATCGTGAAGCCTCAAAAGACATGTGATATATGCATGAAAGGCAAGCAATGCATATTGCTATTTGTATCAGAAGTAGTCCTAAGAGTAAAGCATGTTTTGGGAGTAGTGCATTCTGATGTGTGTGGATCATTTCTAGAACCTTCAGTTGGAGGAAACAAGTATTTCTATTTTTTATGGATGATTTCACAAGAATGATGTGGGTAACACTCATCGAGTTTAAGCATGAGGTATTTACGGAGTTCTATAAGTTCAAGGTGAAATTTGAGAAACAAATTGGTCAGAAGCTGAAAATTCTCAAAATGGATGGTGAAGGTGAATATAACTCTATAAAGTTCTAGAAGTTCTGTGAGGAGAATGGAATTGAGCATGAAGTTACTGCTCCTTATAATCCTCAACACAATGGTCTTGCTGAGAAAAGAAATCGTACTTTGCTTGATATGACGAGAAGCATACTGAAGGAGAAGAAGCCTCCTCACACCTTATGGAGAGAATTGTTGCCACCGCAACATATATGCTCAACAGATGTCCAACAAAGAAGCTGGAAGACATAGTTCCTATTCAGAAGTGGACTGAAGATAAGTAAATTATTAGCCATCTGAAGGTGTTTGGTTCTATATGTTACAAACACGTTCCAGAAGCTAGGAGAAAGAAGTTGGATGATAGAAGCAAAGTAATGTTACTGGTGGGGTACCACAGTTCAAGTGCATACCAGATTTATTGTTCAGAAACTAATAAAGTTGAAGTCAATAGAGACGTCATTATGAAAAAGTCAGAAGCTTGGGATTGGAGCAAGTCTTAATCCATTTTTGGTGTAGTGTCAACACCTGAGCTAGCTTCTGAAGATACTTTAGAAGGTTCTGAAGATGAGTCAGAACTTGAAAGTTCTGAAGAAGAGTCAGAGTCAGAAAATGATTCTGGAGACTCTGAAGATGAGTCAGAAATCGAAGGTGATTCTGATTCTGATCCAGATTTTGATGATTATCTAGAATCTGGTGGTGATCATGCTTCTAGAAGGAAAAACTATGAAGACGTAGGTTATGGAGGACAAGCTTCTGAAGGTGATCATGTTTCTGAAGGTGGTACTTTTGAAGATAGGGGTTCTGGAGGAGGTTCAGAAGCTAACACAGTTCCAGATTTTATAGAAGATTCAAAACAAGTTCATAGGCCACAAAGAATCAAACAAATACTAAGAAGGTTTGCAGAGTTTGACATGTTGCAAGACACTAAAGTAGATTCCGAAAGAGAAGTCGTTCAGTGTGCCATGTTAGTAGATTCTGAAACAATGGTGTTGTACCCTAATTTTTTTACCTAAGATCCTACTTCATATGCATCACTGCATCTCTAACAAAATACAAAAAAATAGTTTTGTGTTTGCTCATTGTGACAAATAGGTTAAATCATAAAATTTCATCAGTGCGATTCTTGACCAAATTAGGGTTTTTGACTAAAGAAAGTGGATCATTGACTTTTTGGCTCAGTGAATGACCTGGTGGCTTGAATCATGGTTCAAAGAATTCAAAATCAACATCTTGACCTAATTAGATGGCTTAAGTCATTTTTCAGAGAAACAATTGATTGATAGTGGAAGTTTTGACTGGACTAATGAAAAGCCAACTGTCACACCAAAAGCAAACTTGGGCTTTTTGGTCAACATTAAACTTCAAAATTCAAGAATCATCAAGGAATTCAAATTTGTCAATATTGATCATCAAGAATCAAGAAAATTAGAAAAGTCAACAAAAGCAAAGTGGAGAATTTTTCAACACTTAGAAAAAATTCAAGTGTTTTTACCCTTTTAAAAACCCTAACTTCATGAACAAGTTACACCATGATCAAGGTTGATTCAAAGAAAACTTAGAACATGAAAGTTGTAGAGAATGAAAAGTTATACAACTTTGTCACTGAGGGTTGATCTCCATAAAATGCATAGATTTGAAGATATGAACTAATGAATTTAGATCTCAAAATGGTCAAAATCTCAAACACTTAGAAAAATTCTGAAGTGCTTGTTTCAGCCCAAAGTAACAAAGTTGTAAGGAATTTTTCACCAAGATTCCAATTGATTTAGGAAAAGTGCCTAACATGAAATTTGTAGTTTCAAGCTTTCCAAAAAGTCCAGGATCATGAATTTATCATACTTGAGTTGAGAGTTTCGACTTTTTGAAGATGGATGATCAAAGTTGGATTGCAAGCCATTTTTGGCATAAAGTGAACACTTCCATTTTCATAAAGCAAGTTTTTCAAAAAACTTGTTTATAGCCCACGCCTCTTCCCTATTTTTTATCACACTCTACATGAATCAAGGGAACTGAGTCCCTTCACCAAGCCATTCCTTCTACTTTGCCTTGCAACATAGATGTACCTTTTTTCTTCACCACCAAGTTTCAAAATTTTTGTTCAAGAAAGTAGTCAGCCCCAAGCCTCATGGTTTCTCTATAAATGGAGACCAACTTTGCACTTCAAAAGCACCAATTCACAGCTATCAAAACACCTATAAACTCTCTCAAAAGTTAGAATTGCTCAAAACTCCATAAAAGGTCCAAAATATCCATTTCTTCGAATCTCATCACCCTTGCAAGTTTTGTGCAAACTAACCATCCTAATACTTCATACACATCATATAGAAGTTGTCTAAACCCAAGAACAACTTCTGTAAACACTCCATCATCATACACCATTTTCACTTTTCACCATTGCAACTTGACTTCTGTAAACCTGTTATGATGACATGCATGATATGTGGATGCAATGTTTTCAAGGATCTCGCGGGGTATACACAATAAAATGTCAGAAGTTGAACTTTGATTATAGCTTTGATTGAAGAACTTTGTATTGTTGAAATATCCTTCTACGAGAATTGAGATCACCATGTCGAGTGAGTCATAACCCTTGACTCAAGTTAACGTGCTTTGGTCTTTGACAACATTTGGTTAGAGGAGAATAAATCCTCTTGTCCCTGCATCACAGGCCCTTTGAGATCCTTGAAATGGTCAATGGAAATGATATGGTATGATGTCATGATGTTATGTACAAGTAAACATATACACACAAAGCAAATAAGTCGTTATGTATAAATAATCATATACACACAAAGATGACAATTCCTTAGGTTTAGGCTTGCATGGAGTTCATAGGCAAGTACCCTCTTGAAGTTTAGTTGGTTCAACCCTGTCCTAGAAAGTAACCGGGTTCTAGGGGATCTCAATATCATTGATCTTTCTTCATTGGGCATTGTTTCAGCGCAAGCCTCTTTATTGGCGACCGAAATATCCCAAAAGTCAGATCTCAATGAGTGTAGTATCGAGTATCAACCAACTTCGAACTACACCAAAGTAGGCTATCTCACTACTTCCTAATGACCAAGTTGTTCAATTAAAGGTTCTAAGGTTCGTTAGTGCTTCACGACACCACACAGCAGCCCTGTATTCTCCTTAATTTGCCACAAGGGATACCGGTACCCATAAATGTGCCACACTAACATATATATTGTTTCAACCATATCGGTCTACGTCGTACAATCTCCATAATCTTTGTTATTTACCTAATGGTGTTCCCAGATCTGGGTAGAGGATCAAAACAAGCCCAAACAAAGGCCCAAAATGTAAAGCAAACAAATCAAACAATAAAAGCAATTAAATGTGATCTAGCTCTAAGGTAACCCCACTTTTAAGATTCTCCCCAGCAGATTCGCAAGTTTTGTAATACGGTGGGAGAACTGACTTGGGTGTTTTGCATTTTATTGCAATTGTTGCGGATAGCAAGAGCCGCCACCGAATTTTCTTTTATCTAATAAAGGAAAGGATGAAAAGAACAAGAAAGACCTTTTGATATATTTTCTTGAGTTCGGGGGGTAGGTTATGAAAATGAAAGGTGTTAGCACCCTTTTCATCCGTAGTTATCTACGGGCTCTTAGTTGCTTGATCACTTTGAAAATGCTTTGTTTGAAATGTGTTTGTGTTTGGTGCAAGTTTGAAAATATTTTGAAAACACCTTTGTTTCGGCAAACTTTGTAATGATTTTCGTCTCTATAAGAATGTATACAAAGTATTGGTTTTGAAAATAGTTCAAAGAGATGTTTGTTTTTTGAAGATGTTTTTGAAAGTGTAAGTGTGGAAATGGTTTTTATTTGTGAGAAAGAAACTACGAGCATCCTACCTACTCAAAATGTCTTTGTTATTTTCCTCCTCCTTTAGGTGTTTCTATCTTACCATTGATTTGGTAAGAAGCCCCATCATTGGATATGAAGGGACAGGCGCGGGTCAATCGTACAGTCATAGAAGGCAACTTATGAGACGCTTTAGCAATTTTTATAAGGGACTATATCGTTTAACAAAGGCAACATCGAGAGACATCGAGGGACTACGATATTTTTTATCGAGGGTCTTTGCTAAAGCGTCCCATATTCGAGGGACATGACTGTTTTTCCGAGGCAACGAGTGAGGTTACCCTAGAGGTGCGCATGTGAAAAGTGTGTTTGATTCAAGTTAATTTGTCTTTGATTAGGGTTATCTAGCGTTTGATTTTAATCTTGCCATACACGCCTAATTACTATACAATATAAAGAAAAATAGTAAATTGCGGAAAATAAAATTCTACGCTATTACAGAGTTTTCGGGAATGAGGAATACAAATTTACAAATGGGGATGAATCGAATCGTCAATGCGATTAAAAGTCTAAATAAACAATCAATACAACCAAATCGAAATGAAAATAAACAATTAATTAAACTAAAATAAACTATTTAAATAAAATTAATTGGCAAAATAATCGAAATAATATTTTTGGTATTTTTTTTATATCATGAAGAGGTTCAACAATTTAAAAAAAAATATTAACTAAAAAGGGTTAATTAATAAAAATTATTCACAAAGTCCTAAACTAATAAATTAATTTTGAAATTGTATATTTTCATTTAATTAAATTTAAAAAAACAATACTAAAGATTAATAAAATTAAATCTAAACTAAAATCATTAAAATAATTCTAAACTAACTTAACATTCTAATATTATAAAAAGTAGATCTAAACCAAATTGAAAATCTTAAGGTTAGTAAATTAAATCTAAATAGAAATTCTAAAGTTATTAAATCTCTAAAATTTACTAAATTATATCTAAACTAATTCAAATGTAAATTAAGTTAAAATTCTAAAATTATTAAGTTAAATTTAAATTAAATTTAAATTCTAAAGTTTACTAACTACAATAATTCTAAATTTAAACTAATTAGTTCTAATTAAAAAAAATGTAATTTTATATAATTAAACTAATCAACCTAATAGTGAATCTAATCAACTATATATATTTAAAATTACTAGATCAAATCTAAAACAAAATTTTAAAGTTAGTAGATTAAAACTAAATCAAATAAAAGAATAAAGGGTAATGTTTAAAATAGAAAATAGAGGGTGTAAAAAAAGACTGAGCTTCAATATTAGAGCCCAAAGGGGGTATAAAATAAAAAAATAAAAAAAGGAAAAATATTTAACTAATTGGGTTGGACCGGACCCGGTTTTTGGAAGAGGAAGGGGAGGGTTTGAAATCCTAAAGAATGGTGTGCCGTTGTTTGGTCTTGGAAAGGGGAATTCAGTTTTACTCTTATCATTTGATTTTGTGTTAATTCAAACGATCAAAAAAATTGTAACTCTCTCTCTGTGAGTCACGCCTCCTCTTTCTCTTTCATCTGTAGCACCATCATCACCTTCATATCTCCTTCAAGATTTTCTTTGAGTTTCACACTTCTCCTCTCTCAATCCTTCTCAAAACAACGCCGTAACTCAACAAGCCACCGCCTTCTTCTCAAGGAAATCTCCGTTGTACTCAACTTTAGTCCATCAGATTCACGTTCTCGTTTGTTAGCTTCACTCCGTTTCGCTTCTGATCGCAATCTTCTTTTCAATGACTTCGCAGTTGCCCCTCTGACTCGACTCAACCTTCCATCATCTTCCATCGTCTTTGTTCTACTTCATCGCATCGGTTCTCGACTCCATCACTCAGACTCGGTTCCAAAAGGTAAAAGTGATTCCACTTCTGATTCCGAAACTTCCTCCTCGTCTTTCCATTTAGCTGTGTTTCAGTGTTGAAATAGTAATATTGGTGATGTTGAGTGTTGTGCAGATGAAGAGAAAAGGGGCGTAGGTTGATGAGAGTTAATGGTGATGATGATGGTTGGAGATGTTGAAGGGTGGTAGCGCGACTTGGTGATGGATGAGGGTGATCGAAGGTCAGTAACGGTTGGGGTTTGGAGAGTAGCGGAAGAAAAGAGGTTGGAGGTGGCGTCAGACAAGAGGGTAAATCAGTGGAGGTTATTATGTTGAGGCGGAAAGTTTGGGAGGTTAGTTTGTAGGAAGATAGAACAAATTTTACAGTTTTTTATATTACTGCTCTTTTCTCTTATTTCGCCTAATTCTATTATTTGGTTTCAGGTCTGCTGTTATTACAGAAACAACAATATTATGCTCTCGGTTCTATTTCTCATGGTTTCCTCTTATTATTCTCTTTTCTATGCAGTGGCAACACTCATTATACAATAGTTAGTACAAAAAAATATACAAACACAAAGATGCGAGAATGGTGGAAAAGAATCAATACATGTTTTGCTACTTCACCTTGTTCTATTTGCTACAGGTTTAGAGCGGATGCTGGGCTGTTGAAAAACAATTTTGGTTTTTCTGGCTCTCTTTGGTTTTTTTGCTGTGTTCTCTCTTTTGGATGTTTTCTTTACATTTTTCTGTGAAATTTGTGATGAGTCCCCCCTAATCTTTTGCTGTTAGCTTTTGTTATATAGGGGAGGTAGTAGGAAAATAGGGGGAAATTTTTGATGAGTTTTGAATACTTTGGTTAACTATTTTGTGGCCTTTTCTAATGCAGTTTGTTTTGGGCTATTTTGATGTTTTTTTTGGATAGGTTTGTACTGTTATGGGCTGCATAACATAGCAGGTGTTGGATTGATCTTGCAGCATTGCTAGCAGGCTGTAGCAGGGAAATTTGCAGGTTGTGCAGGCTGTTTAGACTGTTTTGGGTTAGGTGATATCTCTCTAAACCTGTCTCTTTTCTTTTTTGTCTTTCAATGATGCAAAACTATTTTGCTTTTCTTTGAAATTTTTGAAGGGTTTGCAATATTAGGAAAATGATGAGGCATATGGTTTGGTGAGCTATTTGATAGCTTGAATTTTTCATGAATTACTGCTGCCTTGGCTTGCCATTATATTTTCCCATGCTGCCTTGCTTGGCCTGCTGTGTTGCAGTTTTGCTGCGTTGTTATCTTTTGTTGCAGGTCTACCTATTTTTGTTATTTTAGCAGCCTGCTGCTAACTTGCAGTCGCTGCTAACTGCTGCTGCTGTGTTATTTGTTGTTGCCTGTTGTTTTGGTTTGATCGCAGTGGGCTTGTTTTGGTTTGTGCTGCTGTTTTTGGCTTATAGCTTTGTTGCATTGCTACTGTTGCTTGCAGCTTCGCTATCTTGGCAGTCTTGGTTGTTTTGCTTGTTTTATATATGCTTTGTTGTGGTTTGGCAGCTTTGACTTGCAACTGCTTTTACATATTTGCTTTCTTGTTTGCCTAGCTGCTGTGCTTGCCAATTGGGACTGTTTTGATGCTGCTTTTGCAATGAAATTGTTCCAAATTTCTTTTCCCTTTTTGTGAACCAAAATGTAGACTTTTGTGATTTGCAAAATAGGAGAATATAGCCTATGATCGAAAACCCCTTTTGAATTTCTGATTCCAAATGCAAACCCTAATGATGAAATGCAAATTTCTTTTAACAATTAATTCTTGTTTGGAATTTTTCACATGTTGATGTTTGCTAACTTTTTCCATTTTCTTATTTCATGAACATTAGGATTGGACGGCCAAAGCGAGGTTGAAAGATGAAGAAGAGTCACGCCGAGAAAGGAGGACGAGTTACTTGAAGACGAAGCAAAGAGACTTGAAGAAGAAGCATCATTTCTTTTTATAAACAAAACAATTGTAGTTTGTATTTCGCATTGTAACCCCTTTTGTAAATTGTCCCAAAAATGTAACTTGAACACATAACTTGAATGAATTTTATGAATGATGAATTGGTTGTATGGAAATCAAAAAATTCTTGAATCTTGATTGAAAATGGAAATTTCCACTTGAATTTGGAAAAGAATTGATTGATACTTGAATGTATTTGTTGAATGATGAATGAACAATAATGCAAGCCTTAAGACTTTAATCTTGCATTTGTGTTAGAGATCCAAATAAATTTCATAAATTGATCTTAAAAATTGAGTAAATTTGCATCATGAGAAATTAGTTCTTTTGTATATCTTGAATCCAAAAGCAAATTCATTATGAATGAATTGCGCCTCGCACACTTGAACCAATTTGAAATCAAAAAAAGAATTATTCAAATTGTTTCTCAAATCTTCTTCTTTAAAACCCACATCATCAATTCGTGGTAACTTGCAATACGAGCCAATAATACAAATCGCGCCTTTAAGATATTTAATCAACAAGCCACCTTAATCCAATAATTGCTAATGTTCACTTGCAAATGACTTGAAGTAAGCGACAAGCAATCAATGAATCATTGAACTAGAACTCTAGTTTCGTGAATTACCTCAACATAAGAATCAAACGTCCTTTGAGAAACGTCTGTGACATAAATTGAACCAAGCATAATTTGACCTCGATCTTTGAAGTAATCTCATAAACAACTCTATTCGGGATACTTCACAAAAAGAATCGCCCCAGGACATTGAGAATTGAAGAAGTTATGAACCTCGAAAATTGGACAAGAGTTTCTTGTAATTAGGTCAAATTTTCAAAATGACCTCTAAAATATTCGAATTTTCTGATGATCTTCCGCACCCAATCAGCTCTTGACTTGTAAAGAGGAGTTAGAGATGACATCAAGGAGAGTCATACGCAAAAAGAACTGCTAAAAAATATCGAATAATGAAGAAGTTACAATCGTTTGAACTTGATCTTGCAAAGGTCATTTTTTGGGTCCACGCAGTTCATTTTCAGTCATTTGAACCATCGACTGAGCAAACTTGCAATGCGAGGTTTCAAACTTGGCACGAACATCCATGAGAATACATGAAGAACCATGAAGACCATTTGAAACTTTGGAAACTCAATTTTGCTTGAGAAATACCAAACCCTAGTTGCTGACTCAATGCCTAGGAAGAGAATTTGTCTGATCAAACACTAAGCCATTTTGAATATTTGAGAAACCCTAGAGTAGCATCTTAAATGAAAAATGGGAGGGAAACTTTTAGGGTACAAGAGTGAGGTTTCAGATAATTCAGATGGAAGGATTTATTGGCTGACAGTTGTATTTGCTCATAACCAGTTGAGTAGTAGGAGATTGTTATGGGATGATGACATTAACAGGCTTGGCATTGGTTGCATTGCTCAATGGATAGTATTTGGGGACTTCAATAATGTCCTAACTAGTGTTGATAGAATTGGTGGAAACTTGGTGCAGGATAGGGAGTATACAGATCTGAAATAAATGATGCTTAATACTGGCCTGTTTGAGCATGACACAAGAGGCACACATGTCACATGGTCAAATAACCAAATGAATGAAGCTATCTATTTGAGGATAGACAGGGCAATTTGCAACATGAGCTGGTTTCTGACCTACCCCAACTGTGATATTGAGGTTTTGAACAATCATATTTTTGATCGTAATCCACTGAGGGTTAATATGCAGAGGATTTATACTAGAAGGATCAATACCACTCAACCTAGATTCAAGTTCTTAAATAAGGTGGTGGATCAAGAGGATTTTTGTTAGGTAGTGAAAAATAGCTGGATAGTTGAGGAATAAGGTACTCCTATGTACATTTTATGGAGAAAAATGAAGAGACTGCAACCTCATCTCATAAAGTTGAACAAAAGGGTGACTAATGAGGTGAGGAAAATTCAGGATTATAGAAGACAACTTAACCAGGCTCAGCTAAAGTTGAGGCAGAATCTTTTTAATACTGATTATATGCAGGAGGTGAAAAATATTACAGATAATGCTTATTTCCATGCTATGGTTAGAGGTAGGAATAAGCTAAATGGTATCCATAATTTGGATGATAGGACTGGTAGCAAGATCACTCAACCTAAGGAGATGGGATATATGGTCTTAAGTTTCTATAAGGATTTGATTGGCTCAAATACTTCTAATCTCGAATATGTAGACATTGAAATATTGAGGAAAGGAAAACAACTTTGTGTATCCAGTCAACAAAAGTTGATAACTCCAGATACTGAAAAAGAGGTGAAGGAAGCTCTCAATAACATTGGTGATAACAAGACTCCTGGATGTGATGAATAAAATGCGAAATTTTACAAATGCTCATGGGATATTATCAAAGAGGACCTTGTGAAAGCTGTTCAGGAATTTTTTTGAAGATAACAAGATGTTTGCTGCTATCAATTGTGCTCTTGTCACCCTAATCCCTAAAAATCACGAGGCCAAAGAAATGAAGGATCTCCGGCCTATTGCTTGCTGCACAACTATTTATAAGATTATTTCAAAGATTTTGACAAAGAGACTGAGTAGTGTTATCAACGATGTGGTGGATAGTATCCAATCAGCTTTCCTCCCAGGAAGAGTAATTCACGATAATATATTCATGGCTCTTGAGTTGATTAGAGGATACAGCCGCAAGAACGTGTCTCCTCGTTGCGCCATTAAAATGGACATACAAAAGGCTTACGACATTGTGGAGTGGCCGACCCTAAACTATATATTACGTGAACTGAATTTCCCTGCTAAATTTGTTGACTAGATAATGTTGTGTGTTTCAACTGTGTCGTACACGTACTCAATTAATGGTATTGTGACTGATTATCTGCAAGCGAGGTGTGGCCTGAGGCAAGGGGATCCATTATCCCCGTTGCTGTTCATTTTGGTGATAGAGTACCTTCGTATGAGCCTTCACAAGTTGAAACACAAGCATAACTTCAATTATCACCC